ATACACCTACATAGAAAGTTCTAACATTTTCCAGATTTTTCTAGAAAAAATCGAAATGTCTAAATTTCACCTGATATAAATTAAATCTCTGCTGAAATCCGCCGGAAAGCACGTTTCCACATTACTTTCAAAAAGTTAACGCTTTCGGCTCCAGTATTTACCTGACATTTTATTCTGTGTCCGTGTTTAAACGCTACTCTAGAAGCGCCAGACCCACGCGACATCAATTTAATGTATATGTAAACAACACAATTCATAGCTGATATTAATCGAGGAATGTCGGTCTCATCGTCGACCGAAAGCGCCTTTTAAACCCAATGCATCCTATTGTCCTTTTCAAATGATTTTCAAGATGATTGCATGAAAGTGGTCGCCCGAAATTCCTTGAGTAGCTGGACGAAGCGAGGAATTACCCCCGGGAACACGAAATATCCGCCTCTAGCATGCTGCACGAAGGATATCCGACGAACGTCTGGGAAGAGGGGAAGGACATGACCTTTAGTGAAAGGACATGACCTTCGATGTAAGGACATGACCTTCGATGTAAGGACATGACCTTCAATGGTCACACAGTTTGGCGAAGAAAACGGTCGGTTGCCAAAAAAATTCGGAATTAAGAATGCCGTATGGAAGCTTTGACACCTGCATTTTTTTTTTGCTTTCAGCACGGAAATTTCGAAGAAAATTCGAAACGCATCGTGGAATCCGAAGACTCATCAAGTGATGCATTTCGAATTTTCACGCAGTGTTCCTATGGGGTCACGTGACGAAACTGTCGGAAGATTAATAAATAATTTTTTAAAAATGTAATTTATTTGAAACCCTGAAAATTGGGGTTGGGGTCTCCTGCTGCCGAGGGAGTGGAGACTATGTCTGATAACCCAAATCCAAGGAAGAAACTGACCGAAGTGACAACCGATTTTCACCAAGGACTCGCCCTCGTGAACGCGAAACATTTCTGGTCGACGACTACGTCTGGACGAATTCCGTGCGGAACGGAGGGAATCCAACGGGGAAAATGGAACCATCTGACGCACGGTCGAACTCGGTTATGGCGTCGTCTCGACGGATCTGCGGGGTTTCTTTTCTCATGGCTCGTTCTTCTCTCGAGCGCGGTTGCAGCCGTGAGTTATTTTTGTTTATTTTTTTAATTACCAAATTGTGGGAAAAGATGAGCAGATGTCCGTGTCTATATATAGACGATCGTGAGTGGGTGACACTAATTCCGACGATGGTCCAGAGAAATAAAAAATTTGAAAATTTGGTACGCTAGTAGCCATTTTTGCATTGGCCATTGGCATTACCTGCTAGTTGTATGCCTATTCCTTGGCAGTTGAATTGCCATAATACAAAACGCGAACTTGGACGAGATGACGAATGGGAAAGAGGGAGCCCTGCTCGGCTCGGATTTTGGAAGCAGTCGTCAGGATGGATTCGGTGGCAGTCGGCAGGATGGATTTTGGTAGCAGTCGGCAGGATGGAATTTGGTGGCAGTCGGCAGGATGGATTTTGGTGGCAGTCGGCAGGATGGATTTTGGTGTCAGTCGGCAGGATGGATTTTGGTAGCAGTCGGCAGGATGGATTTTGGTGGCAGTCGGCAGGATGGATTTTGGTGGCAGTCGGCAGGATGAATTTTGGTAGCAGTCGGCAGGATGGATTTGGTAGCAGTCGTCAGAACGGATTTGGTAGCAGGCAGCTGTGGCATCCTTAGCCGAGTCCACGACGACCGCTGACTTGCTAACGACGCTTCATCGTGGTGAATGCTTACAATTTGGAAGTTGCCGTCTGGGCATGGTGCTCTGAATTCATCCCAGGGAATATGAGTGCAACGAGCGACTTTTTTCGGATGTAATTTGCTTGTCCGCTTCTCATGGAGACAAAGGGGCATGATGCGCGAATTTCTCGGGTTGACAGCGTTCGTGCTGAGCTGCCCATTAGAAGGAAAGTATTCGCATTTCCAGGGAGTCTTCCCTGCAATCGCGACGCCTTGTAATGAAGTATAGCGTATTTCCGGTGACGTTTGTGAAAATAGGATGAAATTCCAGCATCCCTAAGCATGTCGAAGATAGTGTAAGATGAAGAGTGCTATATCGTCATTTGCCTTTTTTTCTGCCTCACTCAAAGAACATTTGACCCGCGCGAAGATGTCTCGTGACAAATATTTTCAATTGGAGAATGCGATATTGTGACTCTCGAGGCCATACAAGCCCGATAAGAATCCAGAAGCATCATGGAAGTAAAGAACTTGGAAAGTAACTTATGCTCGTGCTTGTACATTAACTTGGCATAGTCTATTTGAGTACTAGCTACACTACGTTACTTCGCGCGTACGGTACGTCGTGATTTACGTGCCACCAGCTCTAGCAGGTCGTGGTAGAAAGGACGACGGACGTAAGCCTATGCTAGAGCTGGGGGATCATCCAAAATCTATCCACTATCTTGTCGAAATGTTATTCTGGCCGCAGCATCTACTGGCCTAAATATTGAATTTCCGAATAACTGGTTCTCCGAACGTCCATTCCTGGACGAGACCAAATCCCCGAAATTTCTCCTGTGGTAAAATTGGGTCGGTGAAACTGAGTTTAAAAAAAGTTTTCACCCCTCTCTCAACCTATCAGATAGACCCTTCAATTAAAGATTAGTCGGAAAAGTGGTACAATTCGACAAACGAGGGGGGAACGTTCTGTATGGGTGAGCGCGGAGAAAGTTTCGTGAAGAACAGCCGGGACCGGAAATAATTTAGCCTGAGACTCGAGGATCGTTCTTGCCATACCCGATATATCGCGATAATATTATGATCGTACGTTATCGTGGACGGCGTTTAGCTTCCGTCAGCAAACGATGAATTTCTGTTGCCCCTGCGGGACATCAGCATATGCACAACTAGGTTGAGCAAAAGGGACGTGAATGACCTCGAGTCGATCCCGACTCACTGCGTTCGTCCTCCGAGACTCGAGAGACCCCTTCTTCCTGTTGCCATACGTCGAGGCGGAGATGGACCGTTCGATGGACCCATTGGACGACGGTGAGGTCCGACTCCCGAGCAGGGAGCAGACGCTCCTGGCGGAGGTCAGTGCTTTACAACCCTTCGTGGAGGAGGTCGTTGTCGAGAATGCGGAGGATTTTGTCTTCTCAGGCTGTGAAGACGCTCGGGTGGGTGGGAGCGATCTTCCTCGCTTTCGGGTTCCTCGGTCTTGCGGCTGGGATCGTTCCGGTCGTCCTGGCTGGGGTCGCTCCGGTCGTTCTGCTCGGGCGTCTGGACTGTGAAAACATTTCTTGCGGACCCGGAAGAGAGGCAGGGGACATGTTCGACCTCAATTATTGCTTCCGAGTCTTCTTCCCTTTCTTTGCGGCCTGTAAGTCATATAGTGCTGTACTTTATGTAAGCTTTTACCTGCGCGTTCCTGACGCAAAAAGAGAAAGATTTTGAATACAAACTTGAACCAGATGGATGAAAGTTGCGATTCATGGCTCGAAAGGTTGAGAGCAAAAAATAATGATTTTGCACGTTATGGGATGCAAAAGCTCCAAAAGGCGCGAAAGGTAATACAAGTGGTTCAACGGGAATGTTACGTAAGCTTCCTATTCTTTCAGTCGTATTTTTCGTCATGGGGATCTGGATCCGCCGACTTTCCAAAGCGGCCTTGGGGGAGCTGGCCTCGATGGGGATCGCCGGACTGAGAAAGCCGAGATATCCCGTCGCTATCCTGCGAGTGGATTTGGCGAGGATAAGCCGTGTCGAAATCCCCGTCGAGGTGAATTTTCCGTAGTTTCGGATCCCGTATGCTTGTTTGTATTTCCTCTGTCGGCGTCAGTATGAATTCATTTGTCGATCGGAATGAAAGGGTTCGCGTTTTCGGACGACCTTCTTCGAGTGTCGATCGCATCGTTCTCTTGTGTCCATTTTTCCTTCATAAATTCCATGGCGAATCCTTGCGCATGCGATGACGTCAGCTGGCCCTCCCAGTATAAATGGAGACGCGAGGACTTGCTCGTGTCATTTCCTCGGTGGATGGCGCAGAGGCGAGGCCTCCTCGTCTCTCTTTTCTCATTTCCGTCTGAAGAGAAATCGCAATTGAAACCGCCAAAGTCAGCGTTGTGCGTGTATACGTGCTGTTCGAATGAAATTGTTACGATGCCGGACACACCTGAAGCGAATGGATATGCGATGGAATGTAATATACCGATATCGCCATTTTATTTCAGAGGTGGGGCAAAAAGAAACTATGTTGTGAGCACGTACGAGATTATGAGGTTCTCTCGTCTGCGATTCGGAACGGGTTTACAGCAACAGGTCTAATAATTGACAGAGTCTAGGCATATATGCATCATAAAAATATCAGCAGGCGAAGGTGGGATCCTACCTCGACGTGGAAATGCCTTTGTGCTCTTGACGTCACGTATGGCCGAAGAGATTCCCGTCTGCGGTTCCTCTGAGTGCGGAAATGGCGGTGATTCCAGTCGCAGCGATGTCTTTGGGGCGGGGATCGATGGATTCATCGTCGGCATCGGCGGACCGAGGAGAAACGAAAAACCGGGGGAAGGGAGTGCCTGGTGACTATTGATCGCACCCACAAAAGGCCACTTTTCCTGGAATTGGAATTCTCCCAGCGGGTCGTTCCATGTCGAATCAACACAAAATAAAATAAAAATTGACCTCATCCCCCCCGATTTCAATGAAATTTGCTGAACTTGTAGGAGTTATTGAAGAACCATCCCATGCCAAATTTCAGCTCCCTACCTCAAGTACTTCCAGAGATGTAGCAATTTGAAAGAAGCAAAAAGTGATCCAAATTTGGGTCCAGTCTTCATCGCTTAAGTGCGCATAGCTTTTGTTACAATAAACGTAAAAGGCAGATATTGATGTCATTTTAAAGGTGTCTTTATCATTTTTCTTATGATATGCCACTCAAGGACCTTAAATAAAAACAAAGATCAAAGGTCAAAGGTTCTGACCTTTGCCCTTTTAATCATCATAACGAACAAAAATAATCCCGACGAACGAACTTGACCAACTCTCGGAGATTCGGCGAATCAGAACTACTTTCCCATCGAATCGGTCATCGTCAAACGAGTCTCGCAGCGCCGGTTCCACCGTTGCCAGCGCTTTCGCTGGCGCCATCGGCGCTTCATCCCAAATGATGACGTCGGTAGCTCGAATCATCGCCTGACTTTTCGAAAGACACGTCCGGTGTGTGAATTCCTGTGGGGTACAGGAATCGTTTGCCGGTCCCACTTGCTCCATCGATTACAAACGGCGACGCATTTCCCGTTCCGAATCTTCGTGCTCATTTGAACCACTTCATCCGCATCATTAACTTAGAGTTGAGTATACGCTGGTTGCTGATTTTAATTCAGCAGAGGAACGACGTTATCGAATGGACGCAGACTTATTGTAGCGAAATGATCGGCCTCGCCGGATGGTTGGATGGAGAGCATGGGTGAAGGGCTCGACGCGGACGCGCACTGCTCTCTGCGCAACGTTGACGGCCTTCAGTTGCTCTGCAGTTATTGGAGCTCTTCTCTTGGCATCAGCGTTTTTACGTTGCTCCGTGGTCAGTGCAGACATTTGCGGAATCGCCGCTTCCGGACGAATCACGAAACGCGTCTAGCCTTTGCCAAGGAAAGGCGAAGGCTTGGTTGCCAGAGGCTACACCTACCATGAAACGTCTTAGCGTATTCTAATATAGTATGGAATGGATATTTTTAATCAAAAATTTGAACAAGAACTGAATTTGCGATTCGCTGCTCGAAGGGTTCAGTGCAAAATCGTGGGTTTTTGCCCATTATGGGATGAAAAAAAATTAAAAGGCGCGAAAGGCAATGCAATTGCTTCAACGGATGCGTAACGTTAGCTTCCCATTCTTTCAGTTGTATTTTTCGTCACGGGGATTTGGATCCGCCGATTATCCAAAGCGGCCTCGGGGGAGCTGGCCCCCATGGAGATCGCCTGACAGCCCGGATATCCCGTCGCTGGCCGTCCGCCTAAGAGTGGATTTGGCGAGGATGAGTTTTAAAAGAATAAACACTTTCTTAAAAATGTTTTGGTTAGCGTGTTCATATCGTCTTTGAACCAATCCGATGTCTCAATCGGTGCAAGTCTTCTTCGTCTTCCTCCTGTTTTGGTTCAAATGCGCTTCCTTCTTCCAAGTGTCTCCAGAGGGATTCGGTGGCAGTCGGCAGGATCGATTTGGCTGCTATCAGCCGGATGGATTCGGTGGCGGTCGGCGGTGGCATCCTCAGTCCACAACGACCGCTGACGCACTGACAACCCTTCGTCGTGGTGGATGCTTGCATTCGGGATGTGGCGGGCAGGTTTTCCTATCGATCGATTCGCCGAACCTCCATTCCTCGGTGGCAGTGCTGTTCGCGATCGTCTGGCCGCGGAAATCGACGGTCGGCGTAAGCCATTCCGGCGGGGTTCGCGGAGTCGGCGGGATGAAGGCCTCGCGAGGTCGCTTTCGGCACGAGATGCTGCTTCAAAATCGTCGTCGGACGCGTTTCCGCGGTGTGTCCGCCACGAGGCCTTTCGTCGACTTACTTTTCCATCGACTTACTTTTGGGACACCTTCAAAATACTTCATGGAGTAACTGCGTTAACTTGGAGCGAAATTTCAACAGTGCGGCTGGAAAGACGAGCGCGAAATTATAACTTAAGTCATCCGGAAGTTTTTTTTAGTTTTTTTTTTACACAGATGAGATTAATGAAATTCCAGGAGTTGTGCGGAAATGGCTGAGAGAATGTCATTTTCTGTCGGTTTGCCGCATGGCAATCAGGAACCGGGAGAAGAATTCTCATTCCCCATTGCCTTCGTCCCCGCCTCGACGCCATCGTTGTCCTTCGAGGAAAGGATTGGGGTTAGCGATCGGAGCGTTGGGTGCGTGCACGGAGGGACGCGATGCGCCGTGCGGTGGCTGCGGGTTCGCCTGATTTTTGACTCGTGCCTCCATTCGTCGCAGGATTGTTCGTCCTTTTTTGATGGATCGGGGGTTGCTTTTCGTGCGTGAAGGCGTTGTGCTCGAGTGATTTCGATGAAGGAATCTTCTTAGCGTTTGTTGCCGCTCGTCGAACGGAGCGCCTCCTAAAAAGTCAACTTTTGATCTTCCACTCTCAAAGTGCCGAACGCGGAGCGGCGACAGAATCGCGGAACGTATACGAAGACCTGCATGACTGCGCTGTTGTGAGGAATAAAAATAGCTGCGACCGATCAGACCGCGGACGGGCCGGATCATCTTAGTAATCTGACCTTGCGAAAAACACAGGAAACGATAAACGAGCGCGAGATTGCAGGTTACCGGGGAAATGGACTGGAGATACGACGACTTGGGTCTTTTAATTAAAGGCACAACTTACACGAGTTGGGCACGAGTTCGAGGCGGGGATGGCCCTTTCGAGGTCCTTGATGGGATCGTTCGTGGACGAAGGACACGAAGGGCAGACCTCGATCGGAGGGAATCCGTGATCGGGCGAGGGAGGAATGCGATCGAGGATGTCGTTGGGTGCACGAGAGTCCGGTGAGAGGCGAATGCGGGCTTATCGCTCGCTCGGTGACTCGCGGGGCTCATTGCGCTTCCGCGCTCGGCCGCCTGCTCGACTCTTCGAAGCTCCTCGTGGTGGCCTCGAGGTCGTCGAAGGTGGGAGATGAAGGGTTCGAACGTGGAGTTGGTCGACGGCGACGTCGTTCGAGTCTCTGTTGTTACGATCGGGTGACCACCGTCAAGGTCAGTGTCTTCTCTTCTCTGGAAAATTCACTCTCCGACTTCTACCTACGGGCTAGGAATTTTGAGAATTTTTCAGCTTTTCAATAGAACAAAATGTATTCAAATTGGTTCTAAAATATGAAAATAAAATATAGAAATCCTAATTGGACTTGGACATTCGCTTAAATATTATCATTCAAACGCAAGGTTCGACTGGAATGCATTAGAATGCTATTTTCATATAAATCGAGAATTTGTCGATATCAAAGCTTGAAATGGCAATACGTTCTCGCGTCGAAAGGCTCTAATGTCTTAGCCCAATCTAATTAATTTTTTTTCTAGTTCTACTCGTCGCCGTAGGCATTTGGCTTGCCCAGGTGTACCAAGTGGCCTTGAATGAGGAGACACTCGGGAAAGCGAGAACGCTGGCTCGGCCGTATCTCTGTAGCACTTCCCGCTTCCGACCGCCGGGGTATGGATTTGTTAGCTGTCGGCCGGATGGATTCGGTAGCAGTCGGCCGTGGCATCCTCAGCCGAGCCCACAACGAGTGGGGACTTACTGACAACCCTTCATCGTGGTGGATGCTCGAATTGAATTGCGATTGACATTTTCCGCATGCAACCAGCTTGTTCTCGCCGCATGGAGGCATTGAGGCACAGTGCACGTATTTCGTCGGTTGTCGTTGGTGAGGTGCGGTGAGGTGCCGGTTGGAACGATTGTGTGTTTTTTGAACATGGACATGTTTCCATGACAGCTTCCGTGCAATAATGACACTGCCGTCAATGATTAGGGAGTTTCCGTTGTGATTTGTCGAAATAGGACGGTTTCCCTTGAGTCTTAGGGTGACTTGCACCAATCGAGGAATAAGATTTGTTTAAAGACGAGATAAACACGTTAACGAAATCACGTTAAGAATGTGTTTTTCATTATTATTCATATTATTGTTTCTCTTTGCTGTCCCGTGCTGCATCCGCTCGACTGGATTTTTTGTCTTTGCAGTGATAATCCTGATCGAGGGAATCCGTCTCGTGTACCAGTGTCACAGGGCCCTGCACGCGCTGACGCTGAGGAAGGTGGCCGCACTGGCGAGGCCAGGCGACCTTCCGGTCAAACTGCCTGCGTTTGGGCTCGGTTTCGACCATCCGCGACATCCCCAGCGACATCCGGTCAATCGATGGGACGGGCCTCGATGTGCTTGCAGCGATGGTTCGGCGATGCCGAACATCGTGGCCGATATTTCATAACCACCAAGGACCAGATAGAACGGATGATGCAGTGCCACGACGCATGGATCTCACTGGCTGTCATCACGGTCTGTGTGCCGTTTGGTAGGAAAATGTGCGCGTTTACAGACGACCTCGTGTCAATCACACTGGGAGGTTCGGTTCCTAAACACCATCATCATGATATTCCGCCTGATTGTCACACTCGTTCATTGTGAACGGTTTAGCACATTTTCATAAGACTCAAGACGACTTTGTTGATTTCGTCTCCCAAGCACATTCAATACTTTTGCATCACCGATTAGCTCATGGGCTATTAGCGTTAGCATATGATACATGATTCTGAAATGGTATTGATCATTTTCAAGAACTTGTTTGAAGGCAGAGGGAATTTAGTGCTCGCGCGGCACAATGCTAGCGACTAATTCCAGAAAATGCGTGGCCACCACATTGCCAAATGTGGTGGGCTCTGAAAGTCTTCTCCCGTTCTGGGAATTGGCGCAGCAGCTGAGCGGAACGCAAAGAGTAATGATAGGCCTTCGTCCTGTTCCAGCTCCACGCGCGTGCAGCCTGCTGGCTCCCCACGACTTTCTCCTTTCTGAGGAGAGCCTTCAACCGTGTCGTCCTTGAATATGCATGTTTCATTGAAACGAGATACTGGTACCTTGTGCCGATGTACAACATGATAGTGAAGATGGTGAAACTCAATTAGTTACCCATTTTGAACGCAAAAGATGTACAGTAGTTTAAAAAATCAATAAACTGAAGTGAAAAATAAAAAACTAGCTTAAAATTATATCTACAATAAAATAAATCAACGAACAAACTTATAAAAGATGTCGAAGTATTTATCTGTAATATACTCCGTAAAATGTCTTTGAGTAGTAGTTTCAATATGGTGGCCGTCTGGATGTGTTGGTTTGCGCCCTCTCCGTCTTGATGGTTTTTCCTATTGGTTTGCCTTAGGTTTTGGCTCTTGTTTTTGCGTGAGTCGTGACCTTCTTTTTAGTTCTTTCTTTCTATTTGAATTTCTTTGAGTTACTATATGTTGTTCCTAGGCTAACCTTAGTTTGTTCCAGTATATTCTGTGTCAGTGTCCTCATTCGGGATGTGGCGGGCAGGTTTTCCTATCGATCGATTCGCCGAACCTCCATTCCTCGGTGGCAGTGCTGTTCGCGATCGTCTGGCCGCGGAAATCGACGGTCGGCGTAAGCCATTCCGGCGGGGGTTCGCGGAGTCCGCGGGATGAACGCCTCGCGAGGTCGCTTTCACCACGAGATGCTGCTGCAAAATCTTCGTCGGACGCGTTTCCGCGGTGTGTCCGCCACGAGGCCTTTCGTCGACTTACTTTTCCATCAACTTACTTTTGGGACACCTTCAAAATACTTCATGAAGTAACTGCGTTACTTCATGACTTCCTTCATGAAGTAACTGCGTTAACTTGGAGCGAAAATTCCCCAGCACGAAATTATTACTTAAGTCATCCGGAAGTATTTTTTTTTTTTACACAGATGAGATTAGATGAATGAAATTCCAGGAGTTGTGCGGAAATGGCTGAGAGAATGTCATTTTCGGTCGGTTTGCCACGTGGCAATCGGGAACCGGGAGAAGAATTCTCCCTCCCTTCCCCCATTGCCTTCGTCCCCGCCTGGACGCCATTGTGATCCCTCGAGGAAAGGATTGGGGTTAGCGATCGGAACGTTCGGTGCGTGCACGGAGGGACGCGATGCGCCGTGCGGTGGCTGCGGGTTCGCCTGAGTTTTTGACTCGTGCCTCCATTCGTCGGAGGATCGTTTGTCCTTTAATGGATCGGGGGTTGCTTTTCCTGCGTGAAGGCGTTGCGCTCGAGTGGCTTCGATGAAGGAATTTTCGTAGCGTTGGTTGCCGCACGTCGACGACCGGAGGACCTCCTAAAAAGGTCGTCTTCCACTCTCAAAATTGCCGGAAGCGAAGCGGCGACGGAATCGCGGAACTGCGCTGATGTGAGGAATAAAAATAGCTGCGACGGATCAGACTGCGGACGGGCCGGATCATCTTAATAATCTGACCTTGCGTAAAACGCAGGAAACGATAAACGAGCGCGAGATTGCAGGTTACCAGGGAAACGGAACGGCGACACGACGACCTGGATCTTTTAATTGAAGGCACAACTTACCCGAGATGGGCGGGGGTTCGAGGCGGGGATGGCCCTTTCGAGGTCCTTGATGGGATCGTTCGTGGACGAAGGACACGAAGGACAGACTTCGATCGGAGGGAATCCGTGATCGGGCGAGGGAGGAATGCGATCGAGGATGTCGTTGGGTGCACGAGAGTCCGGTGAGAGGCGAATGCGGGCTTATCGCTCGCTCGGTGACTCGCGGGGCTCATTGCGTCTTCCGCGCTCGGCCGCCTGCTCGACTCTTCGAAGCTCCTCGTGGTGGCCTCGAGGTCGTCGAACGCGGGAGATGAAGGGTTCGAACGTGGAGTTGGTCGACGGCGACGTCGTTCGAGTCTCTTTCTGTTGTTACGATCGGATGACCACCGTCAAGGTCAGTGTCTTCTCTGTCCTTTTCCGTGTTCGTTTTGTCGGTCTCGAGAGATGTGGGATTCGCGCGTCAGAGGGCGAGGACCTTGAGGAACCTGGGATGGATTTTCCTCCTGCTCGCGGTCGCGGTCGCCGGGCTCATGGTCGCCCACGAGCGGAAGCTGGAGGCCGGGATGAGTCCGAGGTGCTGGGAGAGCGACGAGTGGGACAAGTGGGGACCCGATTGCATCGGCGTCTTCGATCTTCTCCTCCTCGTCTGGTTGGTCGCGTCGTGCGGTGAGTGATGCGGGGGTGTGGTCACCCGTGCGGTCACCATCTCCTGCGCCCTATCTCACGTTCTGGTTGGAAAATTCACTCTTCGACTTCTACCTACGGACTAGGAATTTTGAGAATTTTTCGGATTTTCGATAGAAAAAAAAATGTATTCAAATTGGTTCTAAAATATGAAAATAAAATATCGAAATCCTAATTGGACTTGGACATTGACTTAAATATTATCATTCAAACGCAAGGTTCGACTGGAATGCATTAAAATGCTATTTTCATATAAATCGAGAATTTGTCGATATCAAAAGCTTGAAATGGCACTACAGTCTCGCGTCGGAAGTCTCTTATGTCTTAGCCCAATCGAATTGATTTTTTTTAGTTCTACTCGTCGCCGTAGGCATTTGGCTTGCCCAGGTGCACCAAGTGGCCTTGAATGAGGAGACACTCAGGAAAGCGAGAACGATGGCTCGGCCGGATCTATGTAGCGCTCCCCGCTTCCGACCGCCGGGGTATGGATTTGGTAACAGTCAGCCGGATGGATTCGGTAGCAGTCGGCCGTGGCATCCTCAGCCGAGCCCACAACGAGTGGGGACTTACTGACAACGCTTCATCGTGGTGGATGCTCGAATTGAATTGCGATTGACATTTTCCGCATGCAACCAGCTTGTTCTCGCCGCATGGAGGCATTGAGGCACAGTGCACGTATTTCGTCGGTTGTCGTTGGTGAGGTGCCGGTTGGAACGATTGTGTGTTTTTTGAACATGGACATGTTTCCATGACAGCTTCCGTGCAATAATGACACTGCCGTCAATGATTTAGGGTGTTTCCGTTGAGATTTGTCGAAATAGGACGGTTTCCCTTGAGTCTTAGGGTGACTTGCATCAATCGAGGAATAATATTTGTTTAAAGACGAGATAAACACGTTAACGAAATCACGTTAAGAATGTGTTTTTCTTTTGGCACGCGCCACCGAAAATCAGATTAATTTGCATGAACACGTTCATCCACGATTTAAACGCGTTTATTGACGTTGTGGTTGGTTTTGGAAAGGAATAATGAGTATAATGCTGGTCCATCGACCGCTGGACCACTGCTGGTCCATCGTCCACACCAAGTCGGCGTGGACGATGGACCAGCAGCGGTGTGCAACGGTACGACGGTGCCCTTTGCGAGGCCCGGCCTTCAAAAGGATCGAGGCAATCTTTGGTCCTCCGGTTCGGTTCAAGGTCACGTCAAGAGCACTTCCCTCTTAATTAGCTTAATTAATATCCATTCTCCCCCTGCGAGAATCCCTTCGGCCTGCCATGGAACACGTTCATCTCTGAAGACTACTGATAAATAATCTGATTGCATTCAGCGCGTGTCGCAATTCAGTTCAGCGCTGAATTCGACTCAGTCTTAAGCTTACGCTTAAGACTGAGCTTAATACGCTTAAACTCAGTCTTAAGCATATTTGCTTGGAACCAGACCGGTTTAGCTCCTAGACCGATGTCATTTCCAACAAGAGAACTCGAGATGAGGAAATGCTCTGTGGTGTTCACTTTTTTTCGACTCAGTCCAACATTTTACGATCAATATAAAAAAAGGCAGGTAATAAAGTGATTTTCGCTCCATTCGGACTCGCGTCGACCTGATAAGATATTTTTTATTATCATCGTTGAATTATGGCTTTGTTTATGAAATAAAAGGGACTGCAGCAATGTCGTCAGAGTACTAAAATTTGGTAACACCTATAAAGTTTGGCTTTTTTGTCTATTAATATGGGACTGTTTCAATATTGTCAGAGTAATGAGATTTTCTAACGCCGATGAAGGCGAGTCCATTCTGGCCAGATGGATTCCAAAGATGAATTTACCAATATGGAAGGCATGCACAGGCCATCCCTGCGTTAGAAACCGAATTTTAGTTGGCTTTCTGATGCAAATATGTTAAAAGTTAGGAGGACTTTGTTATGGTCTGAGTTGACAGGGAAACAGGCCTTCGGGGAGTCGGCCTGTCGAAGTCGAGAGGAAATTTCTGAAGAAAGTGAAATTGTTCATGGCGAGATTGAAAGGGCGGAATGGGGTCGAACTTGTGCCGAATGTCGGCCGGGAAAAAAAAAAACTTAGAGTCGACTCCGCTTAATGAAATGGTCATGGGACCTTTTCATTCTGTAAATTTTATTCTAATAACCGAAACTATCATATTGAACTTCTTCTCCCTACTTCATCGTTTTTTTTTCATTTATGTAAAGTACCAGTAAAATTATGTAAAGTACCAGTAAAAACACCTAAAAACGACACAGCGTTTAAAAGAAATGTGTCATCATCTCCTGCTTCATCTTGGCAACCAGCACTACGAACCTCGCTCTCCAGCTGATATGAAATCTTCCATTTTCCCCGTTCGCTCGGATGTTGCCGTATCAACTGGAGAAGTCGCCAAACTCGCGACCAACGTCCGCAATTTTCTTGTCGCAATCCGACAGGCCGAAATTCCCGTCGAGTCGTCTCGGCTTCTCGTCGGTCGCTTGCGTTGTTTCGGACGGTTTCATCGGCGGCAGCCGGATACTTGCAGCCGGATACTTGCACTGCTCGAAGCAGCTGCTGCAACTTGCCACAGTTGTTGGCTTCGCTTGATCCCATGCCCTTTTCAACGGGGTTTCATCTTCCTCGCGGCCGATCAACATCTTCTGCAGGATCTGCACGGAAAAACAAGCCAGTCTCATCACAGTCGTGCACCAAGTCGAGAGAGAAAATTGTCACCGATCCTGAAAGCACCGATTCCCTTCCAGCCGTCGTGACTGACGGATCCATCGTCGACAGGCGAACGGAAGGGCAGCGCGTGACAGGGTTGCTAGATGTGATCGTGCGATATTGGATCTGCCAGTGCTGCACGTCGTACTCTCTTCCGTTTCCCAATCCACCTGCCTCCTCTTTTTCCCAACGGTCAATGAAAGGAGGCACTCTACCGGTCTGAGCGTGCCTCGCCCGCCTCGCACTCAGCTTTTTGAGGCTCGTGTGGATGCTATGGGAGTTTTGGAACGAAATGGCATTCGGTGTTTGGTCACCGAGATTTTCAAAGTGAGTGTAGCTTCAGGGGGATTGAGGGGGATTAAGGGGGATTAAGGAATGATTTCCATTCCAGTGTGAAACTAACCCATGCACCTGTGTTTACCACGAAAATCAAAGGAATTCGGCTTATCTCCACCAGAGACGACGGAAGGTCGGTCTTATCTACCAAACTCTCTGTGGTAGATACCACACGTTCGCGGGTATTCGCGGAAGATGGCGGGCTCGGGTGGCCTCTTGGTCGACGACGACCTCCTTCCGCTTCCCGACTGCTGTTGGAGCCAAGTAGTCACCGTCCGGGTCGGTACTTCATCTGTACTTATCGCCGTCGTCCGTGCACGAGTTCCAATTTGAGTGAAAATTTTTGTCATCTGATCGACAGACGACGAGGCGGATCCGGGTCGGCGGCTGGCTCTGCGTCGCGTCCGGGATCCTCATGCTCCTCCTCGCGACCCTTTTCCTCTTCGGGGACGTCCGCGACTGCAGGGAGGGATGCCGCGGGCTCCGCGGGTCGGAGGACGTCTGCGAATGCAGCGTCGACTATTTCAACGTCTTCTTGTCGTTCGGGTCTGCAAGTGAGTGTGGTATATGTGAATGATCGCGTTTCGTGCGTTTCTTTTTCCCAACCTGGAATTATAGCCCGAGAATTTCTCGCTCGAACTTGATATCCCAGCGAACTACATTTTTGGGTTATCTTCAATTATTGCCCCATATATTACAAGCGCGAAGGCGAGATAGGACTGTTTCCTCGGACTATGGCACGAAAAACGTGGTCTGCTTCTAATGATAGTACCGATAAGGACCGCAGCAAGTACTAAGTAGCCTCTGATAGCGAAAACGGCAAGATCGACCGGAAGACCGCAAGATCATTTCACAGAGAAGTAATTGGCATTTCATGAAATTAGTGTATTTTCATGGTCGGCGAGTGCAAATCTCGCGACATAGAACTTCATCACAAGGGTTTGCTTGTACCTACAAAACATAGATGGCAGGCCTGTCCCCCGCACCCGGAAAGGGGGAAAGAGAGAAGAGAGCCCTTCCCTCCTCGACCCGATTCGCTTCCTGGAATATTCTTGACGGGAAGACCCGCGAGACCGGTTCAGAAGCCTCCCTTTTAGCGCCCCTCGAGGGGAAGGGAAGGTCACGTCGTTATGGCAAGATTTGCGTCTTCGATGGGGATTCTTTCTCATCCGATGAGAAAGAAGGAAGAGGATTTCGCTTTTCTAGGGCATTTTCCAGGTGGCTATCGGTTTCTATCCGGCGCCAGCCCAATTCAATCCTCGCGGTCGAGTGTCAGCAGAAAAGATTGGGTGATCCGTTCTCTTTTGATTCAGCGGTAAACGGAAAAAAAATTGGAATGGCATATTCGTTCTGTTGGCTTTCTCACCGAAGCCTCGAAGCTCCAAAGCAGGGGAAAGTATGGCTTCTCACTTGGATATCAAGGCGACTGGACCCAACGATAGAGATAAAACCGGTTTGGTTGCGACTGTCGATCGATTCGAGACGCAAGGTCGAAACACATTCCACGTAATTTATTTTGAGCCTGGATTTCTAATTGGTTTTTAACTTTGCAACCGGTGTCAGGTTCCGAATGGAAAGGGAGAGGATAGGGTGGGCTTCTAGGACCTCACGCACCGGCCCATCCCTCCTTCCCTCGTCCCCAGAGCCCTGAGGGGAGGCCCTGCCTCCATTTTTAACAGGGAGGGCACTGCATTCCCTGAAGGGATTCGCATTTCCCAGTCGGACCGACGGGCTGCAACTGCTGCTGAGGGCTTTCTGCGCCGTTTTCGGCTGATTCCGGACTGAATTTATCTCAGCTGAAAAGGGAAAAATCTCGATGATTATAATTAAAGTAAGTAAAATTAAAATCGTAAACGCGACGCGTTTAGACTTAGGTATGTGTCAATGTTACCGTCACAAACGTAAAACTACGACAGGACTTCTTGGAAAATGCCTCTTTTAAGTAAAAGGGAAAAAACTTTGAAGTCGTTGGTGGATATTGCCGTATCGAAAATGCGGAATTCTGCGGAGAAGGAACGGTGTCGCGTCCCAAGAACCATTCATTATTATTCATATCATTGTTTCTGTTTGCTGTCCCGTGCTGCATCCGCTCGACTGGACTTTTTGTCTTTGCAGTGATAATCCTGATCGAGGGAATCCGTCTCGTGTACCAGTGTCACAGGGCCCTGCACGCGCTGACGCTGAGGAAGGTGGCCGCACTGGCGAGGCCAGGCGACCTTCCGGTCAAACTGCCTGCGTTTGGGCTCGGTTTCAACCATCCGCGACATCCCCAGCGATATCCGGTCAATCGATGGGACGGGCCTCGATGTGCTTGCAGCGATGGTTCGGCGATGCCGAACATCGTGGCCGATATTTCCTAACCACCAAGGACCAGATAGAACGGATGATGCAGTGCCACGAGGCGTGGATCTCACTGGCTGTCATCATCACGGTCTGTGTGCCGTTTGGTAGGAAAATGTGCGCGTTTATTGACGACCTCGTGTCAATCACACGGATCTCTTCAATGTAACAGGTATACGGTGAATTTCGCATGGACGGGTGTGAGATAGTGTCATTGTACTCTGAGTCTTATCGGACAAAGAAAGGGATGAAGAGTTTTTATCTCTACTCATTTAATTTTTTTTTGTTTCACTCAGAGTATACTCGACATAAATGTAGGTCGTCCCTAAGAGACGCCTTCAATTGCAGATGGGAAAAAATGGGAAAACTGAATGAACCGTTTGAAGGCAATGCACTTGGTGGCACTGACAGGATTTGAAACTTGAACTGATGTGTCTCATCCGTCAAGATGTGTGTGGTTTGGTCATTTCACTTTTTTTTCTTAGTTTTTAGGGCTTTCAAACCAAAATCTTAGACGTGATTATAAAAGGCGCGCGTACCGTACAGTATATAATAATTGTTCTAGAGAGTCTGTGAAACCTGAATTCTCTTCGGATTGTTTTTGGCAATCTTTTGTAGAGCTGCCACAAATGCACAGGTTTTCTTTTATACTTCCTTGGGGCTTATGGCCGTGTTAAAGACTTACCACCGAACGAAGGAAGTGCTTGCTTGTTGATTCCGCTTCTTCCCCCTTAAAACCGGTCATTAACAGCTTTAATTCCTCGATCTTCAGTCGCTACTCAGAAATGACTAATGTAGTATTCGTATTAGCTAGGAACATTGGAAATCACGACCTTCCTGGACTGAGAGTCGAATCGACGGACTTCAACAAATTGTCCATTTACGGAGAAACCGGATGCAATGAGAGTGGACGCAGTGATCTCTGAATCAAAATATAAACATATTCGGCCATTAGAGATGCGACTGGCGTATCTCAGGCACTGAGGTGGAATGTCTTGAATGAT